TCATTTTAACAGATATATTTACCAAAATTACACAAAAATATCTTGAAATACTTATTTGTTCAATAAAATCGCCATTGGATTCAACCACTGCCTCCAGACGACTTCGGAGTCTCCTGCAACTCTTCTGGAAGGTCTCCTTGTTTAAGTTTGTGAATGGTGCCATAATCCTGGCCTTCAGTTTAATCTATGGTATTATAAAGAGGTTTTTGGTCCATCGCTCAACTGCGCCCCACATATAATAATCAAGGGGAGTTGCAGTCTGGGGAGTTTGGTTGCCAGATATAAGGGATGATGTGGTCGCAGAAATTGTCTGACAGACATGATTTGGTTCTCCTGTTTGTGTGGTATGGTGTAGAATCCTGTTGCCAGATATAGTAACTTCCAGGAGCCACCCTGTTGACCCAAGGCAGTACTACCTCCTTAAGGCACTTGATGTAGGACTCCGTCTACGGCCCTGTGGGAAGATGAATGGAAGCATAATGTCACAACCACTAATGATCACTCCAAACACCATGATGTTGACTGGATATATCATCCAAATCTTTCTGAATCCTCTGCATTGTCCTCAGGGTGCGATGGGTAAACTCTGAATTGTTCGTATTGGAGCTTGCGGCGCGGATGACAAGCAGTACAGCATGCCGTTTGCAAATTTCTGATTGAGTGAATTGCATCATGGTGCTCTTTTTCAAACAGACAGTGCCCAACTGACCCTACTAAATTTTGCATTTGACAAAATTAGAAAAAAAAAAATGTAAAATGGCGACAATTTACCCATCGCACCCTGTAATTCTTTCCTTCACTTCTCTTTCTGTATTGCATTCATAATTTATTATTTTCCTCTTTCTTTTAAAGAAAGTTTTTACATTGCTTACCTTTCTTTGTTGAAGTCATTTTGTTTTCTTTCCTTCTGTTTTTCTATCTTTTTCCTCTGTTTCTTCATTGATTTTTCATTATCCCAATTTTCTTTCCTTCTTTACGTTTTACTACTCTTTTCTTGATCACTTCGTTTTATGTTCAAGTAAATAAAACCCTTTTTTCTCTGTTTAAACAGGAAAACTGCTGTGGAAACAAAAAAAAATTAAACAATAATAAAAACAACACGAGTTCTCAAAAAAAATCAAATAACCTCTCTCTCGCTCACTCACACACATACAGACATTATCTCTCTCTCTCTCTCTCTCTATCCATCTTCTACACACACTATATCTCTTTTCCTATATCTCTGTTGATATTTTGATAAAAAAGGATTAAAGAAAATATGGACGAAACTCTATAGAAAGTAACATTTTACCAAATAGGTGTTTAAAATCAACATTCTGTCAAAGTATTTTTGATAAATTTCGCTGATTTTGAGGATCACTGTAATGAGGTTATATTTACATCTGTTTTTTTTATATTTTAATCTAGAATTAAAATTACATATGTATGAAAAAGGCCGGTATTTCAGTGCTTTTTTAATAATTATGGTACCGACAGAAGACAGTAGAAAATGAGTTAAGAGAGTGTTTGTGAAAGAGGAAACAAGGTCGTTTATTGACATCTTTGGTTTTATTTCCTAATCCAGCCTTTGGTGATGAAATTTCATGAACGTCTTATATGAAAAGATATAATAGATAATTCAAGGATATATATATATATAAGTATAGATACACTGACGTACCAAAAGTTATGGGATAGTTAGCTACTATCGCGTGAAGCTTCTTTACACAGGCGAAGTGCAGCAACTTGACATCGATTTCACATTTTATAGAGTTGTTGAGCTATACAATATAACATGACTGTGCACAATTTCATGATATATGGATGTTTTTTTGCAAGGAAATAGACCTCTCGATCACATATAATAAATACTCGATTGGACTCAAATTAGTTGAACGTGGTAGTCACACTTTTAAAAATCTATAGAATGCTTATCAAACCAATTTTGTTCAACTTGGTCTCGATGGCACGTTATATTATCTTGCTGAGATATCTAATAGTTTTTTTGGTATATAGAATCCAGCAATGGGTTCAAATGACCATGAAGCAGTGTAACATTGTAGTTATCGGTTATTAATACGTTAAAGGGATCAACAGACTACTCATATTATATAAACATAACCCACATCTTATATGAAACTAACAAAAACTTTTATGGTGCCTGGTTTACAATTCGGGTTCATGGTTTCATCTGCCCCACAACCATACTATAAGCATGAAACTACTGTAAACATCAATCATTGGCCTAAGTCCTACAGGGTCTAATTAGCGACGTCTCGAGCTCAGTTGTCTGTCGTGGTGTTAACACGGTTATCCTGGTGCATCTTCTGCCCCTTTGGCTTATGGAAGCGAAAAAATAAAAATGTTGAACTTCCCTACATGAGATAGATCTGGTATCCCCTGCATTGAATGTAGACGTTATTTGAGACAGTGTCGTTTGTCTATTATCACAGAAAAATCTGTCCATTGCACTGTCCACGATGGTCGACAATATCTGTCACGTATTCTCGGTAGACACATAACACCATAGATGTAACGATGTCAAATGTCCCCACTAGTTTAGAAATGGAATTTACTATGTGTAAGACATCCCCTTTCGAACAGCAATAATTAATGTTGCCTTATCAGAAACAGCACATCCTTTGCTGACACTGATTCATCACATGTCAAATCATAACTGATATAGGTTTGGACATTTCCTTAATGTCAAGGTAAAGTGGCGTTACCAAAAATTACCATTGTAGCCTGCTATTCCATGACTTTAGGCACGAGAGTTTATACACACACACACACACACACATATATATATATATATATATATATCTGTGTGTGCGTGCTTAATGGCCGGCTGCTTCCCAGTATACCTGTTTGCAAATGTATCTTAGCGTCTTAGATGCATTTTCTGGGAGAGAACTCATAATTTGGCGTGATCACCAATTTAACGCTAGTTTACACTGATTTGTGTCTTCGTGCTAGCACAATCATCGGCGCCTACCGAGCAGAAACTGCTCACCAAATTTCTGTCATACACGAACACTCTTTCTCTCTCCCCCTTTCACGCACATACGCACACACACGCACATATGTATATGTGTGCATGTGTGAAATGATTTTGGCTAAGTCCTCAAAAAACACTGATTATAATCGTATTTTATTTAAAATCCCGTTTTGTGATATCAAATACTTTTAACTGTTATTCAATCTTCAATAATTTTTCGTGAAAATTCAAACACATTTATTATTACCTAATTCGTGAGAAATCAATTCAACTTATTAAAAAACTGAATGCACACATTATGTCTCTAGTTTTTTCCTTTTGTGCTCGTGCCAAAAATGTGAGCTTTGTCACGTGACGATAGAAATGAAAAGAAAGTGAAAAAAATCGCAAATAATGTTAGCTTCAATTTCTAAAAAGAATTTATGTCAAATTTGGAAATGAATATCTGCATCTATTCAGTTGTAATTGTGGTGCGCTTTTATTATACATCTCCGTGAATTCTATGCGTGTTTTGGGATGACACATATCGTCTTTGCTTGTAAGTTATAAGGAATTCTCTATTTCTAAGAGATAGAAATCTTACCAGTTTGAATTCTATAGTTATGACATTTGAAACGGGTCAGAAGTTTAGAAATAAAAAACCTACGGTCTTCACATTCATTTCGCATATAATTCACATCATGTTTATTTATATGAAAGAGAAAAATCTTAAAGTACAAAAAGCAAATAATAATAATAGGATATTCATCTTTAGATGGAGGTGAAAAAAAATCAGTGACTGAAAAAATAATTTTGATAAAAAAAAAAATGCACCAGGAAAGGAAGTTGAGATTTTGAAGAAAACTAAAATGATATGGATTTGTTGAACAGATATAAAATAAGTGAAAGCATTTAAGACTTTTTTTTCTTATAATTTCCCTTATAGTGCAAATAGTAATAGTGCTAAGTAAATAGTTTTTGACCTTATTGACTGTCACAACTTGGATACAGTTCTCATAGAAAATTATATTTTTAGCATGAGAACACAAGCATTTATAATATTTCCATTTGAGGGTAGGCTAAAAAGTTAGTCGGCTAACTATGAAGGAGTGATACTAGAGCTGTTCTTATTAATAACTGCAGTGTTTATTTTCAGGTAAATTGACATCTGACTTAAAAGTAGACTGTTCATACTGTTGGTCAAAAAGTCATCAACAGCAGATATGACGTCATCACCATTGCGATACTGTTTCCAGCCAAGTGTTTTTTTTTCCTGTTGGGAAACAGATGATAATCAAATCAGATAAATAGGGAGGGGATAAACCAGTTCAAAGCCACAGTCAGGCATCACAGCCATTGAAACTAAGGACTTGTGTACTTGTGTAGGAAACGTTCAAGGAGACCAGCTGGATCTGCCTCAAACAATATCAGATTTTCCGATGATGGGATTAGCTGATGCCCTTTTAATCAGGTGTCACAAGACATGGCACCCACTTTCGTCATATTCATTCTGCAGAATATTCTCAATTCTCTCACGGGATATGCTAATAATATTGGTTATTTGATTTATAGTCAATCGTCTGTTATCCCTTACCGTGTGATGAATACGATCAATGTTTTCCTCGGTGATGACAGTTGCAGGAACTTTAGATTTTGGGTCAGCTTTAAGACTCTCTCTTCCTCTCCTAACTTCAGCTGCCCACTTTTGCACTGTTGATAAAGCTGGAGCGTCATCATCTAATGTAGTAATCACGTTAGCATGAATATCCTTGGGAAATAAACCATTTTTCCTGCAGGTACTTGATAACATCACGAAGTCAAATTTTGTCCATTTTCAAGAGGGTTCGATACGAGTTACTTATGAAGTTTTCTTTGACCAATTAGACGTCAGTGAAAGATGTCACCCTCGTATATAAATAACGCACATATAATGATTTTGTGATTCAAGAAAACTGATTATTGTAAATAATATTATAAATACATGTTTTGTTATTCTTGGGATTTACTTTCCGTAAACTAGATATCTTTCTGTTTCTTTTTTCAGGCAGAAGGATCAACAGGAGAAACGGACATCGCCTCGTGGACGTCTTGGTCATTGTGGTCAAAATGTTCTGAAAGCTGTGGTGGAGGCTTATCCAACAGGACACGTCATTGTACTAGTTTAACTGAGTGAGTTCAAATCTTTTAGAAATAAAAATGTGTTATATCACGACAGTTTCCCTCTCACATCGAAATCCAAGTAAATTTGACAAGAAATTCATATTCAATTCTCAATGATCGATATTTCTTATGAATTATCCTTCATGTCGTTAACATAAAGAGCAATTTATCAAAAATTGAGCTATGATAGGAACGCTTTCAAATTGTAATTCAGTGTTAATCAATATTCTTCCATCATGAAAAGAAATCCAGCACTGTTTTCAAAATATGTTGTAAATCTAATAACGTACATAATTTATAAACAAGAAATAAACAAATTAACGCATCATAAATATTATTGTAGTGACATAGGCAAAATGGACTTGTCCTATTTTGCATAAAGTCCGGCGCTTGCTAAATAAGTCATTGTAACTCATCACAAAAATTACATTTAAAAAGGAATCTAACGTAAAAATAGAATTAAAATCCTTGTATTTTTTGTTTTTTATTTTCTCATAAGTTTTTATTTCTTTTAAATGTTTACCTAGAGAATCAAGAATTAGACTGTCTTGGTTACTCTGCTACTTTGCTTTGTTCGTAATTTGTTGCATTCTAAAAGTGCTTTGCTGTGAAAAGAACTTTGACTACTTCGGTGTTTACTTAAACTATATTTGACACCTAAAAAGTTAATTAGGCAAAAGAAAATTACGAAATAGGTTAAAATTAAATAAAATCTTTTCCAAAGTTAATTTGCATTTTTAGTTTCGAATTTTATTTTAGCTTCAGCTATTTTTGATCGACGTTAAAATCTAAGTCAATAATGAAACTTTCAAAATTACTTATAAATTCACTGTAAATGTTTGCTGAAAAATGCATTTTGTTTTATATCCTTCACTTTTAGTACGATTAAATTTATTGTTTATTTCTAGCGAAATATTCGTTCATAAGTAAATACAAGCCTTGAGACATGGTGTAACAAGGGATCCAAATGAACATTTAAGCAGCCATTGTGCTTTGAACGTTGCTCGTGAAATGTAAAGCGTCAAGAAAAGGATCGCATATGTGTCTTAGACTGAAAAATTCGAGTAAAGTGGTTGGTATAGATCAACTTAGTACAGCGCAAAGCCTTAAAAATCAAAGAACCCAGTGAAGACTGAACCCACTTCAGTATAATGGTCTGCGGGATAAACTTATCAACCATTAAATGCTTAGGGAAATCAAATGACTGCGGATGGAAGTTTGGAATTTTGTTGCATTAATCTCCTAAATGGAGAAAATTAATCATTATTCTAAATCCAGTTTTTTCATTATCTTCTGACCAAGCAGATTTAATATTTCCCTTTACTTTTATATTCTTAATTAACTGTTAATTTTAATATAGATTAATAAGTCTATAAATTAGCACTGAGTAGAGTTTCTAAAATGGAACAAATCTTATGCTTATTCTGAAAATAAAAAGTTAGTCTTTACGATAATACATTTTATAAAGCAAAGAATCAGTATACTGATATATCAGATTCCAATTCAAGTGTTCGGTTTATAGCCCCCACCACCACCTTAGATATGGGGAGCAGTGAATTTAGACTCAGAGAAAACGAATTTTCATCTGTGATCAAATGTAACTAAAAATATTATATCATAGTTACAATTTTTAAAAATGAAATATACATTGACTTTCGTTCTCAGTCTGCTACTTTACAGTTCGTTTTCATGTAGCTGAGCTAATGAGGGTTATTTTAAATTGGCATCGAAAACCTCTGTCTCTCAGGGGTTTTCACATATATATCACAGTACGTCTTGATGTTTTTATTCTTCAATTGTGCGTCGATGTGTATGTATGTTAACTTGCGGTTAACATCGGCCATCGAAAAAATAATAGAATCTTTTGCTTTGAATTAGAAACTCATTTTGCGGTCACTGGATGCTGATAAATGTAAACATAAGAAACACTAAAATAACTAGGAGTCGCGTATAATTTGTAATCTGAGTCCAACAGATGTTTGGCTATATTTGCCTTAAAGTGCTTTACTTCAATCCTTTGCGAAAAATTCTTTTGTTCATCTTTCTCCTAATTTGGTAAAGGAGAATTACTTTAAGTAAAGAATAATATTCTCAACGAGCGTAGAACGGAATTACACAATCTGGTCTGAATATTAGATATGTGTAAAAGGTTCCAGTAGTTTTTAATTGAAAGGAAAACTGCTCTTTACTGTGTTTTCCTTTTATAGTCTGGACTTTTCTATATACCTAGTACTACACACATGACAAATCAAAGTTGATGCAAACTACTGAGCACAATTTAGTTGTTTACATTAAATAGATTTTATTGTTTTTATGATAGGTGTTCACTCTGACAGATGTGTTCTCGTCAAGAGAAAATAACTTTCCAGTAGTTATAGCGATACTGCCTTTTATACAGTACCTCTTTTATATATCACTATATCTCCCTGAACCTAAGAGACCTTTAGTTGACCTTTGACTTCTATGAACAACCCTGGGAGACATAATACGTCTCTCAGAGTGAGTCTATTTATTTTTTTTTAATATGAGATCTAGTGCATAACTGATTTTCCTCATTTGAATCATCATATCACTGGTCACTCTCATCCCCAGAGGGTTTCTCACTACCACTAGATACATTCAACACTGGATCCTTCCTAATTCCCAACCTAAGCTGATTTAAGGCTAATACGTCCGTTTCTATCCAGTGCAAAATCCTATCCTCACATTTTTCACTTTCTTCAACATTTTTACTTTCAAAATGTAACCGAAATGCGGAATATTATTTCCTTTAATATAAACGACGTCAAAGTGGAACGTCATAAGCTTAATCGCCCATTTTAATATCCTGGCAGATGTAACCTTTGGCAAATCTCTTCTGGAATTGAGTATAAATTATCAGATTTTAATAAAAATTTCCTTCCCAGCAAAAATTTCTAGCTCTCTGTGTTCCACCAATCGTTAATGCCTCCTTCTCAATATTAGAATAATTCGCTTCCGTCGATGTTAGTTTTTTGGATAAGTACATTACAGGGTGATACCCTTGCGACAATATTGCGTCTATAGCACGGTCACTAGCATCAGTAGTTAACATCAATTCTCTCGCTTGGTCGAAAGTTTTAACAACTTGTTTGTTTATGAGCGCCTTTTTTTTAATTTCTCGAAAGCAACCTTCTATCTTTTTGTCCATTGAAACTCGGTATTGTTCTTTATTACGTTAAATGGTTCCACAAGATCACTATATCGCGGAAGACATTTGTTGTAGAAATTAGTTTATCCTGAAAATTTATTGACTCTTTCTTATTTCTGGGTGCAGCTATCTCTGATATCTTATTAATGAGTTTATCATTCGGTGATGTACCGTCTTTGGATATTGGATATTCTAAGTATTAATTTTTTCACAATTAACCTCTTATTTATCGCGATTGTCATACCCACGCTATTTAAATTTCTCAAAACCTGCTCCGTTTTACTTTTGGGATCTTTTTATTGCGTGCACAAATGCCAATGTCGTTCTGATACGCAATTATATTTGAAATGTTTGATGGCTTTTTGGAAAATGTGACTTCATGTTTTTACTTCAAACGGCAGACTAGTCTATCTTATTAATCCAATATGGGTGTTCATTTTGGTAACTTCTTGAAACTTGCTATCAATATTTATCTGATTATATACTGACTTAATATCAACTTTAACAAAGTGTTTCATACCAGCAAACTCATGGCACGCTGTTTCAATGTTTATCAATGGGAATGATTCCAAACAGATCTGGTGATTCACACTCACCTTATAATCGTCACAAATTCTTAAATCTCCATTGGGCTTGCGTATCGCCACAATGAGTGTAGCTCAGTTGCTGCCACACTGGCTGTGTGCAGTGTAAGAACTGCTGCTGCTGTGTCACGTGGCGAAATCGTGTCTAACGATTGGTCGTACGTGATTTTCCCCGCTTGTTTTCGACTAGATTAGAGGAATCTAGTCAGTAGTAGCAGAAAAAGTGTGTTCGCAGTGTGAAGACGATCAGTCGTCTTGTCTTGCGACGAAAAGAAAGTTGCTTGAAGATCACTTGTTGTTGCTCTGACAAGGAAAAGGGCGCCGCATTGTGAAGACGATAAGTCGTCTTGTCTTGCGACGAAAAGAAAACTTGTTCGAAGATTCTGTTCCAGTAATCAAGTGGATTATTGTTCAGCAACCAAGGACAAGTCAGTAAAGACTTATCAAAAAATCGGTTAAAATAATTATCGTAAAGAGAATTTTACAATAGAACATTCGCAAGGAAGTCTTCTTTCGACAATCGGGTCGAAGAGAGAAACAAGTCAGTCAAGCGGCTGAAAAGCTACCTTCCTTCGAGGATTTATTTTGTCCTATTGGACGAAATCCTGATGTGAAAAAAGTATATGAAAAAAAATCTTCTAAGAAGTTGAATTTGTGTCGCAGAGAAAGTTTGAAAAAACAAGTCTGCATTTATTCTTAACAGGAATCTTGCTTCTCTTCCAAGGAGAGCAACTCAAAATATCTAAACCTTTCTGCCCAGCTACTAAAAAAAAAAATACTAAAGCTTTTTTTTTTTAACTGTAAGTCTAATTTTTCCCCTCTTTCTGCTATCTCTCTACCTCTTTCACTCTCTCTGAACTGTTGTTGGAGTCCCTTTTTAAGGGCTCGCCAAAGGGACGTTTTTGGCAGTTATTTTCAGGTTGTACCAGTGAACTTTAACATCAGACTATTTTTCCCCCCTCATTTTATTTTTTTTCTTTTCCCACAAGAAATTTTATAGCTTTTTCAAGTGGTTTTTTCCTTCTTTATCTCGCTTGTTATGGTTGTATATTCATGGTTTCAGGTCTCTGTTAACTGTGTTACGCGGGATTCCCGTCATTGGACGTAATGAGAGTTTCCCAACCTTTTTTGCGCCGAGTTTGGCTGTTACTAAGCTAAATTTCGACAATATTGCCCATTATATAGTACCTCATTTACATATCACTACAATTTTATTATGAAATGTTCAATTAGATGTAGGTAATTTTAGTCAACCAAAAGATAAATAGAAAATTTCTGCATGCAAATAAGCTAATTCCATATTTAACAAAACTTGTGGAGTGAAAGAGTATTCTAGTTTAAGATTTTTTTCTAAAATTCTTACTCCGACATAACTTGGTAAAATAGAATGATTTCTTGATAAAGAATTGGTATACTTACCGTTAGAACAAAAGAAAAATAAGGAACATAATCATATGAATTGAAATAATATAAAAGCGAAGTACTGTATATTAACATTGAGTGAATAGATACAATTGAAGTATTGGTCGATTGTAAAAGTAGAACAGACGTAGGAGCCTGAATTAATAATGCCTTATATGAAAGATTAAATGCATGTACGAATTACTTTAAAATATATTTCAGTTAAAATCTTAAATGCAATATTCAGACTTGACGAAAAAATACTAGATACTCATCAGTTTGCTATAATTATAAGTGCATTAATGTGCCTTCTGCACAGTCTCGGACAGTATTGTGTAGACCCAATTGACACGTATTTTATAACTGATAATGGCTGCCATAGCTGATATAGTTCGACAGAGTTGTACAAGTATTATGTATATTATCCCAATATAATCATTCTATTTATACTCCAGCAAGCCTGCATTTATCACTCAAATCTATCCTACACGTAGCAAATACAACTCATATTAATGATAAACAGGGGAAAATTAACATATTTGGGCGTCAAATTCTTCATATCGAACAGGGAAGGGCAAGTATAGTATTGCTGTCATATCATTTTATATTTTTATTATAGGAACTTTATTTTCCGAACTGATAAGATTACTTAATTTCACAATATTTTTAAGCAAATACTTAAAGCAAAAGCCTTACAAGAAGTCTTTATACTAATAGAAAGTTAGCTATCTGGAAAAATGATTGACAAATAGGTTTGTTTTTATGTGATTGGTATGCGACAAATGAATTCTTGTAATCTGATAGTCGCACACTCTTGTTGCTATTAGCACTTTTACTCTCTTTCTTACAGTTTGGAGACAAAGTTGGCAGTAACCAGCTGTAGTGGCCATGCAACTGAAGTTCGTGTGTGCAACCGACAGGTAAATTATCTTCAACTGTGTCAGACGGAAATTAAAACAAGATACGTTCAAACCGGTTTGCAATTTTCAATAAAATCTAAATGAACCTCATACAGATTAGTTAAAACAGGTGACTGAGATATTTAAGCATTTCCCACCAATGCCATAAAATGTACCGATTTTCAAAACAAGCAATCCTCCCCTTGTAGAAGATTTTGGTGATACAATCTTTCAACTTTAATTTTTTCCATTTTGTCTTGTAATCCCCTGAGATATATATATATATATGGCAATTTCTGTCTGTCTGAATCAAATTGCCGTAGGAACCCGCGAACCAATATTGATGAAACTTTGCATACATGTTAATCTAATATCCAGTTTGTTACTAGGTTAATTGTTTGTTTTTATAAAAATTATAATGGGGCCCCCGAGATCGCATCTCATCGTTGGGTCTTACGAAAAACGCTGTTAACTGTGTTTAAGCAAGAGGAAAATTGGTCTCGCAGGTTATTTTCTAAATAAAATCTTTAACATTTTAAAATTTAACACATTAATTCAGCAAAATCTTTCTTTTGAATACGATCTCTTTTGTGTGTTTACATTGCAAAAAAATTAATTCGTTTGCATTGCAAAAAAGTTAATTCGTTAAAAATTTCGCCAGGTTCGAATTTATTAAATACAAAGAAAATGGCTAAATCCATTCGGTCATTTAAACGTAAAATAACGTTTAAATTGAGCTTATGTGAAAACAGAAACAACCTGTTTGAAGGACACTTTCGTGCTATACACCGTCTATGTAAAAACAATCTAGCTGTGGAAATAGACATCCTTCTTAAAATATCCAAACGTCCTTAATCGGCATGAGCCATGTCCCCTTTCCACATAAGTTTTACTTTTAATTGCGCTTTGGCATCTCCAATAAATTCACCGAAATAAAAGCATAGCATGATGAAAAATGAACCAAACTTAATAAAAACGAAGTGTTATCGTTAAAATACTTATGATTAAGAGGAAAGACCAAAGTATTTTTTGATGATTTTATTAATTTTTTTTTTTTTTTTCTTCATCCTTTCTAGAACTTTCGAAATAAATAATTGTTTTTTACGTTAGCGGCCTAAGTAATATTTACCATTAGTGTTTTGTCGCCTTTTTTTCAGGTGAAAAACACACTGATTTTGGAAATTCTTGCAAAAATCAATCAATTTTCGGATTTTAATGAAATTTTCAGAACTTATTCATAAATGAATGAAATTATTTTGGTCATGTTTTTTTTTTTTTTTTTTTTTTTTAGAAAGTCATGGTAAAAATATTTTTTACAACTGTTACCACCCCCTTTCTTAATTTTATGAAAACTTGAGAAATTCGACGGCATGCCTTTTATTGATTATATTAGTTAAAAGCAGAAAACTTTGAAGAATATAAATAATTGATTTCTTGGTAAAATCAAATCACACAGCTAGCCAAAATTCACCTATGAATTGTAATATTCAAAACCCAATGTAACCAAGATATTATTTAATTAGATAAACTTTTAATGGCTTTTATGAATAATATATTTTAAGGACAATTTTGTCTGAAGCTAAATAATTTTTCCGATGATAATGAATTTTTTTTTAATTTTTAATACAAAATGTGAAAGTTGTTAAATATTTTTAAAATTAAATTTCAATCCGTGCAGTTTAGGGAATGCTGTTATTAAGTAGATCTATCTTTACAGATCATAAATTTGAAACCTTATTACAATCTGCGACACATATTATTATTATTATTATTATTATTATTTTTTTTTTTTAAGTTTGTTACACTATTGTTTTCTCCTGACGAACAGGTGTTGAATTCTCTGACTTTGACCAGCAGCGACGGATTTTCAAAAGCTTTATTTTTTTTATGCCTATTTCAATAAAATTTAGAATATAATTATCATTTTTCAGGGAGAAACATACTGCAGTTATTAATAATCTTCTTTTTTTTAGTTTCAATTCTGTTGACGGAAACAAAACAATTAATATTAAGAATAAGGAAAAATAAAAATTAACACATTATAAAAATAACATTTCATAAAAATGAGAGAGGTATATAATACTAGGTACCTACCTATTTATGAAATTTTATGGTATTATTTTTAATTGTTAATTTTTATATTATTTCAGTTATGATTTTTTTCATAACTGAGATATAAAAATTAATAATAAATAAAAATAAGAGATATACGTAAAAATTAGGTACCTCTCTTATGAAATTTTATCTCACTCTCAGTTATGAACTAATAAATTTGTTATATTCTTAGTATTTTAAACGTTGTCTTTCCAGAAATAATTTTCAAACGTAAGGCTATAAAGCTAAAGTACCTAAAAAAAAAAAAAAAATTTCTGAAAGTATGTTAACTTTTAAAAATTGTGTAGTTAAATTAGTTCACTTGAGATTCGAAAAAATTGTCACTTCTGTTTTTCCGTCCGATAACTTCCCCTGACCTAAACTGTCAATATATCGTCAGTTAACACCTCCAAAACAAGTCACCACGGTTAAAACATGCTTTTTAATGGTATTCTGCTGTTCAAAAAATAAAACAAGATTTTTAATCAAAATTTCGAATGTTCTAAAAAGGATGAAAAAAAAATTTATAAAATAATTTGTCCTTTCTTTTTAATAATAATATAAACATTTAAACGTTAATTTTTTTTTTCATTAAGCTTGGGACCCTTTTTTATCATGGTATACTCTTTTTAAGCGAATTAATGGAGATTCCTAAGACGATATCAATTCAAATCGCGACGAAATGTGAAACTGAAATGAAAAATTTAATAAAGAATTGTTTTTTAAACCTTTCACTCGATTCAATATTTAATATAATCTATCAGTTGGGCAAATATATTTCCTCTAACGAGGCAATGTGGTGCATCCTGCACTTCGAAATCCACAAGCAATATCCGGCTTTGGTGAATCTAGCTGTGCATCTTGAAAATGGACAGCGTGTATATTTCAAAGGAGATACTGCTCGAAACGTAGTTGAGATTACATCAGAAACCACATTGACATCATTCTTCAAATTATACCAAAGTGACCTGTTTGCCCGAACACTGCTATATGTTGAAGTTCCCGTCTATTACATCAGGGCACGCAATAGATGGAGCAGGCGCAACCAAGTAGCACAAGTTGAGGGCTGGGAAGAAAATGCTGTCTTCAGATGCGAGACCATCAGACTGGTATACACTGTGCACACCAATCAGCAGGAATGCTTCTTTCTACATCTGCTGCTGCACACTGTCAGAGGTCCTACGTCAATCACAGACCTGCGAAGATACAATGGAGAAGTCTGTACCACCTACAAAGTAGCCTGAGTCAAACATGCCCACTGGGACGAGACACTGGGGGAGGCAGCAGTCAGCAGAGTACAAAGTCGACTTCGCCAGCTATTTTCCATCGTTTTGAAAGAAATGTGGCTTGGGTGAGCCTCTTAAGATTTGGGCGACCCACAAAACTAGCATGGTAGAGGATATCCTAAGAAGGATTCAAAGGCAGACCCCAGCGTAAACTGTCACGTTCAATGATGTCATCTAAAATGAAGTATTAGTTGACCTGGACACCCGAGTGAAAGATATGGGAAACCAAGAAAGTGTCACATTTGGCCTACCTCAACCTGACCAGGCAGCGAACAATCTCGCAGTTGATTACATGCGAGAGATCAGCTATGACACCAAGGAAATGACGATGTGTATAGTTGATAACGAACACAAACTGATGGAGGACAGACTGGGTTTTTATAACACGATTATTTCGAGCATTGAAGATGAAAGAGGAGATCTATTCTTCCTTGATGGCCCAGGTGGACCTGTCAAATTGTAAATTTATTTCAACAATAGCTCTCCTAAGGACTATATTCTCTGTAAACGCACAAAAGCTCTTTTCAGGGCTATTTACTTTGAATTGTTACTTTCGAATAACCGATTTGCCTTTTATTACGTAAGTCGCTTTACGATTTTGGCATTCATAATTTATTGACATCTCCTCTAAACATCCTAGGGGCGGCGGTTGGGTATTCTCTGCGAACACACAAAAGCCCTTTTTCACTGATACTTACTTTGAATTGTTACTTTCGGATAACCGAAGAAAGGATATGAGACGGGAACTGGGGATAACATCCGCTTTCCAGGGAATTACCAGTCGAATATTTCTTAAATCGAAAAATATATAATTCTCCATAAGATTATTTCTTGAGACAATTAATTGAAACTTTCAAATAAATTGTGATAACAAATATCAACGGATATATGGATTAGTTAAATTTGATACCAAAGAGTAAAAGGCAAAAGATATTGAATTCTGTAAAAAGGTATACCAGGAGATTTAATTTAAACCAGAGATTCAATTCCAGATACATATCCATCAGTCTAGTTCGGTGCCATTTAGTCTCCATAGGAAATGACACCCACCATTGTTCCTCTGTTAACATTATAACACAACACTTCATCTGGTTTTGTGACGGCACTAATTGGGCATTGAAGAACTTGTAACGTGAAACAATTCCATTTTTTTGAGCTCATCGGCTTCGAGTGTGGCGCAGATTTCATAGATCCCAGTTGTTAACAAGGCACCTTACGTGGTTCCACTCATTCACCTAAACACATCATCGGCCAGTGTCCCCAATGTTGCATTGTTCTGTGCACATTTACATTTATTCATGGACTCCATTTATTCCAACAACGATTAGTTATACTGACAGGATAATCTATCATGTCCAGGCTCAAGCTACACAAAATTGGTTTGAAGAATGATCTGGATACTTTATACTCATAGACCCTGTTTTTCACGGTCAAGTAATATCGGCGTTCGCCTAGATCAACACATTGTGGCTGTTCGCACAGCGCCCACAATATAGATCAGAGTAAATGTGATCGTTAGGAATGTCAATAGGGACATCTTGGAATCGTTTAATTACATCCTGACTGCGATTCCAATATCTCTAGCAGGCTTCTACTTATGCCACAGCACTATCGTGCAGGTTTACAATTGTATCGCAAGAGGCTCACCTGAGTTACTGCATGACGCTCTGTAGTGTTCTATGATGATAGCAAGTTCAGCCTTTATGTAAGTGGTGGGTTTTTGGGTGTTATGGTAATACCTGGTGAACAACATCTATAGTGCATCAACCCGCAACAGACAGACTGAAACCTTATGTGGAGCTATAAGTTACAGCGAAGGTGATATGCTGTTCCAGTAGGTTATTGCTTAATCATATGACGTCGGAGCTACATAGCATACTCTACAATATGTCCGACAACTCTGGCTGGCACAATAGCTAAACCTGTCCCTCATGGAAGATATAGGGATATAATGTAACGAGGCTTGAATGACTACATAAGTACAAAGAGAATAATTATAACTAACTCGTTTCACCATATGACTTATTGCAGCTCATTTCGTCATAAAACAATTTCTTGCGGATGTTTACTTTACAGGTTGGTTCATAAGTTTTCATAAATTGATATTTGCTTTAATTATATGTAGCGAGTTGCAAGCATAATTTTACCAAATTTGACAATTCATACATTCGGTATGTTTTTATCATCAGAAAAGTATTAATGCTTTTAAAGTTTATGTTTCAATATTTTCTTCTTTTTTATGTACCATGTCCATTCTGGACATTGGTGATCATGGCTCTCCACAATTTCCTCTCTTTTATAGCTCTTAATAGTTTTTGTCATTTTGCTATCTTTCCTAAACTCTGTCCTACCATTCATTTAGCTATGCGCTATTTTCCTCTATCCCTATTGCCTCCAATATGTCTTGTGGTTGATAGGTGTTTCCATGTAGGATGACTCATTACGAAATTGAAATCATTCTTCAAATATATATCAAAAGTCTTTTGATTTTATTCATAAAATTATAGTAACAGAATTACAAAAAGGAAAATTATCATTTTGCGGTTAAAATATTCACGCTTTCTGTGTGTGTGTGTGTGTGTGTGTGTGCAGTATTTTAGCTTCGGAGAACTGACTGAAAATGATAAGGTATTTCGTGATTAATATTGGGCGATTATATTTAGTGAATTATATTTGAAAGAATACATTGGCCAAATATAGATAAATATTTAGACTATTCACGATGTTCGGACTGTTGTCTTCATCTTTGTTTCCATATTCATCAGAAGCTGGCACGAATATCGAACCATATAACATTTCTATATCGAAAAGGTTCAGTTCGAAATTTCAATCACCTGAAGAAAACCGGAGCATACTGTTGCAGTTTTTTTTTATATCTCTGTACTAGTGAGCCAGTCAAAATGAGCTGATTCATTTTATAGCTCACCAATAGAAGGGTTAACCAATCAGAAAGCTCAAAATATTCAATGCGACGTGTATAAAGGCAGCCATTTTGTTTTTTCTCCCAAAATATCTCCACTGCCAACCTGATATCGAAGACTTAAAGAATTAGCAGCCGCTACTTTCTCCGAATCTACATTGCAAACCTCTGACTTCACTGGATTTCATATTCAGAGACTACGGCAAACATGGTCAACACATACAACGGCCGAAACATCGTGAACATAGCAATAAAATGATCCAATAAAAGTATCCAATAAAAGAATGAGTCAATAAAGATCGCGATGTGAAAAATTATACTATTTTTAAAATTTTTTAATGAAAAGAAAACTTTGATTGGATTATTCCTATAACCACTAAAAACCCATGAAATTAAAACTAAATGCTGTTGTACCTATCCAAAGTTAATTATATTTCGAATTTGTTTACTAACAATTCTTCGGAAAATCATGGAAAAGATTAAAAATAACAAATCCTTTTTAAGAAATCAAGAAAATAACACTGAATATAGGAAAATTAATTAATTTCGTTATAACACCTGTCTTCAAACTCAAATTTGTACAAAAGTATCAAATATCTTTTATTGTAGATTCTCTTTTGCGTTTAAACACATTCATACTTATATGCATTCATGCATCTAGTGTTTTTAGTATGAAAGATATGGTGAATACTCAAAACATATAATCTATAGAGCATACACTGGTCAGACGGAGTAAAGCCAGTAATTGCCTTTGAAATATTTCGTGAAGAGAAACGTCGAGAAAGTTTGAGTAACCGCAGAGAGCGGCAGCTCTTGGTTCTTCTCATCTTAAATGCCATTGCGTTTGTACTTAAACGTAACCTTGTTTCTCTATCTAAATAACAAAAAATGGAATTTAGACATTTCACCCACGAAACTACACCTGTTTTCAAATATCCAGACAAAAATACATCTTTTCTTTCTCACGGACTATACGTCATTTTTATTAATGTTTCAATCTAAAAACTTTTTCTTTTATTCACTTTATTTAATACTGTTTTTCTTAATCAGACTATTTTTTTCTTTCTAAAACGTGTATACTTGTAAGCACTTACTTCGAATGAATTGCATTTTAGTCACAGATCCATGGATAAATGCGCATATATCTGAAAAATTACGCTCCTAGAATCACTTTCCTTGGCCGGTAAATATCTACTTGCTCGAAAAAATACTTTATTTCTATACAAAACACATCCTGAATACGAAATAACCAAATTTGATGGCAAATATTTAATATTACAGTATGATGAAATTAGTCTAGGTACAAGTATTGACACTCTACAGCGTCTGTGTGAGCATGAGCGAATCAGTTACTTCAACTTACTATATAAGATTCAGGAGAATATTTTTTCGGTCTTATATGTAACTAAATACTTGTTATTTATCGGTGGATAATGATTCTCCAGTGTTCATGAGTAATGACACTAGTAATAAACGAAAATATGCTTTTGTTTAATTCTCTGTTGAAATATGTAGATTTTGTAGACGAAACTTACATTTTTTTTAAGCGGATTAGTAATGAGCCTCCTCTGAAATAAGAAAATGAACTAAAAATTTTATGAATTTTAATCTGATTTCATTGTGACAAATCCTACATGCGTTTTTCCCAAATGTTTTATTCATTTTCAAATAATATTTTAAGATAAAAATAAAGGAGAACTACTTGTATTGTAATTTGTGGAAATTCCCACGTGTATAATATCATTTTTGTACAACAATGGTCGTGTTTTGTGTCGAATATCAAAAATAATAAAAATGCTGATTTCTTCGTTATGCGGATGAAGATAGAAAATCTGTTGTCCTACAAACTTAGGAACTTAATGTCTAGGAGTCAGGAATTTGACATCTAGGAGGTTGGGGTATTACAACGAACATAGTTTGCCATCACTTCTCTTAATGAAATCATAACTTCTGAAGTACATCAACTGCACATGTTTTAGTGGCGCCTGTGGGCGTCGATTGTTAATGGCAAACAGATGGCGATCATTGCAATTTTCCTTGAGAATGATGTTTTTCTTTTCACTTTAAAAAAAATATATCCGAAGGAAAAGGAACAGGAACTGTATTCTGCCACAGATTTCTTTGTGTGCAAAATATGAGAAGATTATTAAAAAATAACTATCATTACGAATACAAAACTACTTGACAGTTCTATAAATACTAGTCGATAAAAAGGTTTCCTTGAGTTAAGCACTTCTCGCTAAATATGCCCGACAGCGTTCGTCAGTAAAAAATAGTAAATACGTTTCCATTCAGAAAATTGTGTCATATATTTAACAAATAATGAAATATATAATTTTGGATTCATTATTCAATAAAATAACTTTGAGACCCGAAATATTAATAAATCCATTACTTATGAAATAACAATAAATAATAAAAATATTTGTCAATTCCTTAGTTACAAACTAATAAAACTTTGTGGAGTCTATGTATATGAATCTCTTCGAAAGCAGCTCTGACGAGCTATCTTCATACTAAAGTAGCATCTAAAGAAGAAAAAGAAATCTTGAAATATATCCGTTTTCAGATAATTTAGTATTTAAAAATGGCGCGCATCCCGCTGTGAATAATTGACTGCACATAATAGGATTCAATCAATGAATCCCAGTCAATTATTCGATTGCTTACTGTGTCAAGAAAACTTTATTCTAATGCAGATGTTTTTTTTTAGATCCGTTATGCCAGGTGTTTATGAGTGCATATGGTGAAACGATGATATGTCATCATCATCATCATCATCATCATCATCATCATCATCATCGTCGTCGTCGTGCCGTATGTGTTCTTTTGATAGATTCTATAATATAGATATGAACTTGCCTATTATTATTTTATCCGATGGTGATGCTTAGTGTGTCAGTGAAACTGTTATGAACAGAGCTGGGTATAGATGGCGTGTATCAACTGCTCTCTCCTTCATGTTTCTTTCTCTTGCTTACTGTATTCTTTTTCTATTTTCTTTCTCTCTTTATCTATCACTTTATCTATCTCTCTGATCTGCAACATTTTCAATATATTCTCTTTACAAGTATAATGTCACTTGTAGTCTTCATTTGACCCTATTTTATTTTATTCGCCTATAGACATGTCTCTCGGGAAGCCGTCGCCAGTCATACTGCCTACCACTCATGAATCGTTTCTTCCATGGGAAACGCTACTATTGGGAAGCCTTCATCGATCGTATGTATAGCAGTTGTTTTATTCAGATATTCACTTTCAGCTGTTTCCCAACTAAAACAGTTTTTTTAATTGTGAAATAACTATTAAACACTCACAAATCTTCTAGTGTCTTGATACGAAATGATTACTGCATTTCTATAGACTATAGTTCCTGGGTTAAACAATGTAGAACCTCACAATAATTTAAAGGTTAACTCTGATAATTCAAGATGACATGTATTATTTCTGCCAATATAATGCTTTAAAAGAATTTCTGTGTATTGGGATATATATTCCCGGATTTTTTAAAAATTCATCATTCAACTCGCGTTTCCAGCTTGCATTTATTAACACTTGGCCATAATTGAATCACAAAATAAATCATAAGGAGGGAATTTCTTATTCATTAGTTTGAAATGTACGTCTACAAAATAGAAGATAAGTTGCATGAGAATATCTGTCGAAAAATGGACAAACGTTGCCTCCAAAAACGATGCCTTTGCGTTGCTGTTATGTTCTTTTACGTATTTTTTTAAACGGGAATAAATTATTAACAAAATGCTAAGTTTGAAAATTACAATGATCAAATATACTTAATAGTTATATGTGTGTAAAAAAAATATAAAGCATCTGATAAAAGATGCAAAATGAAAATGAGGTGTCTTTCTTAGTATATAGTCATTATTCTTTACTTACACTTTTTAAAGTAATTCAGATTAAGGATTAATGTTAGAATAAAACGTTTTAGATCAATGCCATTGAGATTGCGATAAAATATGAAATGCCTAGCTGCTTTTTGAAGCAATTTAATTGACTTTCTTCACTTCTGTGGCTTTGCTAAAAGCATTGGTGAGTCGTATATGTGGATTTGCTTGAAACCTGTTTCTAAACTTTGCACTTCAACTAGGTTTTCGCCGATACACGAGTACTTTATGGCAAATTTCCTTTCCTCAAAGCTTAGCCCATATTATTTTACATTAGCTGCACCTAAAATGAACAAATATTTAGCTTATCTAATAAGACTTCTTTGAATAAATTATTGCTGCCCATTTATATATATATATATATATATATATATATATATATATATAGAAACCAAAAATTATTTGCTGTTTTTGATTTATTAGAAAAAAAGGGTATGCAGCAAATTTGACATACTGTTAGTCCTCAAAGCAATCCCCATCAGCATCCAGAACTTTTTCCCAACGTGCCTCCAGCAGCGCAATGTCCTGGCGCTAAAATCAGGTGTTTTGGACTCCAAGAGGGTCGTGAATGTTTAACACAAGTCTGCCTCATTTGCGAAGGATTTCCCACGAAGGTGTTTCTTCAGAGAATGGAAGAGGTGGTAATCTGTTGGCGCAATGCCCCGGGAGTGGGTGGTACGCTGTCTCCCAGCATCTTCGTACGGTATACCTGGCCACCTGCGCCACATGTGGCCTGGCACTGTCATAGATGAAGAGTACGCCATTGCGATTAACCAATGCTGACTCATTCTGCTTCAGTGCCTGTTACACACGTTCCAATTGCTACGAGTGCAGGTCCGCAGTGTTGGTTTGGACCGTTGGTTCGTAGGTGTAAAGATGGTCTTGTGATGTGAGGCACAGGATCCAATGGTGACAATCAATGTCTGGTACGCTTTGGAATGTTATGCAGAACCCAGTTCTCGACATTAGTGAGCACTTGATCAAATATGGGTACGTTATTTGGCCCGAGAAAGCAACAAAAAATCAAACTGTTCATAATCTTGCGGCCTCAGTCGAGATTGAACTCACTAATACTTTGATTGGTGTAGTTCATAATCTTGTCAATAGCTGAATTCTTGATGCTTCACTAGGGCTATCAAGGGTATTTTTTATTCTGACACCATCACTAAATGGATTGCCAACCAAGGCTCAGAGAGACTCCATTCACTCTCATCTAAGAGCAGGTTTTGAATTCAGAGTTTTCCTTCTCCTATAGGCTATTTACCCATCGAAAGAGAAGAAAGAGGATTCACACCTTTCCCAAGGGTATTAGCACGTAAGTGAATGTAATGGATTCGACTGGAATTCGAACTCGGCTCTCCGATTCCTCAATCCAAGCCGCTATCCATTACTCCACCGTGCCTCATCAAGAAAAAGCTGTTTGTATTAATACAATAATAAAAACGAATATAGAGACAATATTGGCTTTCTATGACATAGATGATTGACTTGCTTGTCATTTTTGACACATGCTGGTCTATGATTCTCTGTTTTCACTCCAGTTATTCATATTTGTGCCTGTCATGTCACACCAAACCCATGAAGCTATTGCAAAATAACCCACATTTATTACAAATTCATTGAACTTCTTGAATCACTGTTTACGCATCCTTACCTCAATTTACTCAAGCACTTCATTCCATTCCATACATAGCGATTAATTCAGGCATTGTAGGATAGTCACCAGTTCTTCCGATCTTGGACATCATTCCCCAGGTTTTTGTTGCATCAGATTTGACCGTATACTATGTTTGAGTTTATCTTTATATCTCAGGAGTGGTCTACCAACATTACCCTAACCATCCCGAAGCTATGCTCATGCATTCTTAAAACATAGCCAGACCATCTTAACTGAGATTGCATTGGCCCGACGAACAAATGCAATGTGCGACGTCCTGCTGGCAACCGAGAAAGATGCCAAACAGTTGGCCGGCAATATTTTAACAACAAAGAATCTTCGGCTCTAAACTAAGTACATGGGCACCCGAAGAACAAAAGTGACAGTTCATGGGGTGTCCGTATACAAAACAGAGGATCGAATGTGAGCTTTTTTCGTCCAATACGGAGAAGTGGAGGAGGTGTCGAGTGTATTTAGCAAGTCAGGAATTGCTACTGGCGACATTGTCCTTCAAGTGACATTAACCCGAAAGAGCTTTGCAGACATCCTCAACATATTAATATGTAGGGAAAGAAGAATGTTGGTGGTCGAAGGGCGGCGACACTACTTTTGGTCGTATGGGGCCTCTGGGCACATGGCAAATGTGTTCCCCAGGAAGAACGTGACGACACAACCACGCACGACAGTAACAGCTAGAGCAAAAGCAACAGTGGTGGCAGAGTCTGGTAAGGCCCCTGATGTCTCACCTAAACAGCAACAACAACTCCAAAAGCAACCGCGAAGAAAAAAGCAAAGCTATAACAGAAGCAGCAGGAAGGAAAATTACCTGAAAAGCAAAACGAAAAGAAGCAACAACAACAAAAGAAACAAAAACAGCAGCAACATATAAAGCAACGGACAGAGTAGGTCATGGAGGTGGAGGAATTACCTCCTCCCCGGTCATCCTCCTTAAAGAGGAGCAGGGAAGAAGTGGAAAATTCAGATAAAAAGGAACGCACTGAAGGAAGTAGAGCGGGGAGGGACATGGACAGGTTTCAATCCGTTCTTGCGTCGCTGCCAAAGAGGAAGGACACTACCTCAGTATCAAGAAGCCTCCCCTTCACCCTCTCGAGTCCCCTTTCCACCCACAACTCCCACACCCCTCACTCGTCTACTTCCACACCTCCTCATCCGTACAATTCCATTTCCATCTGCCCACTTCTATCCCGTCACACCCAGCCAAAGAAAAACGGGAGAAAAAGAAATGGTAAAAAAAAGGCAAATCATCAAGTCAGAATATATTTGTAAATTAGACAGGAGAGATTTGGAGAAGGACCTCTTTACTCAGAAAAAGTCCCACTTGGGCCCCTGTTTAAGTTAGCCTCCGTCAATGGAAAATCAATGGAGGACCCCCAAAATTTCCCCAAAGCCCTAAGGGTTATTTCTTGTGTTAGGGACACGTGGAAATATTTAAAGGTGTAGTCACATTTGTTTGAGGCAAAGGACGTCTTTCCAGATCTAAGAATGCCCAGATGGATACACCGGAACTTCGAAAACTATATAACTTTTGTCCAGGGAGGTTTCCCAGTGCTTCTTCACCCCTCATTATATAGGATGCTAAAACTAACGTACCCTATGGACGTCGCGAGATTGTCTCTGATGGACGAATGACAACGGAGATAGGCACATGGGAGCCTGGGAAAATCCATCGGGTCCTTACTGCCGTAGATTTCTGTCCAGTCTGTGATTAGGGGAATCAAATTTGAAAAATGTTTCTCAAGTTAGCTAGTTTGAATGTGAGGGTCTTGAGGGGTCGGAGTAAGACTGCCCGCCTGCTTCGTGATCTACTGTCCTTCGGCGTAGATCCAGGAAACACACTTTGTTTGCAAAGTTGATGCTCGTGTGCTGTCTAGCGAATATCTCGTCTATTCAGCATACGGGTATTAGCAGGCCACAGGTGTTTCCTTGCTGGTTAAACCTACCGTTGATGCGAGGGCTGATCTTGTCCACGTTGATACGGAAGGAGCAGTTGATCGTGGCCGCAAGGGCCGTTCCTGGTTGATTTTTCGCGCTTAGTCTTAATGAGTTAATGGATGCCATCCTCGATCCCAACATAAACAGGGGGCGGGGAGCTAGCAGGAGATCATTGAGTGATCGTAGCCTGGTTAATCTGATCGGCGAGTTTGGTCTTGTCGATATATACCGGGCGACCACACTGGGCGGGTGATGTGGACGTGGGTACGTAAGTATCCATCTACCCGGGTAACTAACTACCTGGATAGAATGTTAGTAAGAAGGGCTGATATAGACATAGTTAGGCATAGGTTAAACAAGATATTTAACGAAGCTGTGAATATGGGCGTACAATTGCGCAAGGAAGAAATCCATCGAGGTTCCGATCGATACATTCGTGATGTCAAAACCCCAGAGGGGCGTAGTCTGAGGTCGACTGACAACATGTGTGAGGCGTTTCAGCAGCATTTCGGGAGCCGGTTTACCAAGAAGCCTGGTTTTGTGGCGATGAGTTTCGCAGCTATTTGGCTGACTTTCCTCGGCTTTCGTCGACTGAAGCGGCTAGCGTTGAGGGTGAGATCATGGAGGGCGAGGTATACTTGACATTGAAGAGGGTCGGCACTGACAAGTCTCCGGGACTTGATTGTTTACCCTATGAAATGTACTTG